GTTATGGGGTTACGGGGTTTTGGGGTTACGGGGTTATGGAGTTATGGAATTATAGGGTTATGGGTTCTTGTTTTGTAACATTGATATAATGCAGATTGACTATGCTGATTTATTTTCTTTAATATCGGGGTTATGGGGTTATGGGATTATAGGGTTGATGATTATGGAGTTATGGGGTTGTAGGGTTATGGGTTTATGTGGATTAACAGATTGGTTTTTTAGTTTAAAGCATGAGTAACAACGTCACAGGGCTAAACAGCGTTGATTATAGGGTTTTTTGAGGTTATGGCAAAATCCTGACGTGATGGGGTCAATCTGACCTTGGATTCGGATTCAGGGACCCCAAAAACATACAGTAAATATAGTCAGACCCCGGGGCCAAAAAAAATTTTTTTTTTGTGTGGCTGTGTAATGCTAAGTCATTTTGATTATTCACAATATGTTTTTTGAATAATGATTGAAACAACTATTGAACTGTTTATTCTTGTTTTTTTCCAGATGTCAACAAAGAAAATTTTTACTGGAATAATGAAAATACAAAATTTTTGTTGTATCTATTTCAAGAACGCAAGGAAAAGTTTAGAGATCCTAAAATAAGAAAGAAGACCTTGTAGACTGAAATTGTTAATGAGTTTAGAAAACACAATTATAACAATGTAACGGAAGATATTTTAGATAGAAAAATGAGAAATATGAAAAAAACATATCGAACAATCAAAGATAATCAAAAGTTAAGCGGTCGAGGAAGAATAACCTGGGAGTATTTTAAAACATTTGAAGACATTCTTTGATGATAAAACAATCAATATCGGACCAACATTGTCATCTATGCAATGCACATTGAAACCACATGTAAGAAAATATATGAATATACAGTTTTACAGAATAAACGTTTATATAAAAGTTGGAGATTACTGATAAAAATATTTATGAAGGATAATTTTTTGAATTATCATCCGGATAATTATTTTCGATAAATATTTCCATCAGTAATTTCAAATGTTTGATCGCTGTGGAAAATATTTTTCTGATGAGAAACATTTTAAAATGTTTTGTGCGAGGTCGGGATTTCAAAATTTTCTTAAGATATTTCAAAAATCATATATACCGTATTTTTATTCCTCTTCTAAGAATTGCTTCAAAATTGGTGCAAAACAAAAAATAAATTATTCTAATAATTTGTTCAACAGGATTCAGAAAAAATGGCTAAACAGTGGACTTCAGTGTCATCTGATAATTGTGACTTGATGAATATATCATCAAGAGATTTGAAGACATCACGATATAATTTTAGTTCTATGTCAACAGATCCGACTTCTTCCTTTGAAAAATGTATCATACCATCACAAGATTCTACACTACCTTCAACAAACTCAATGTCATTGTCAAGATGTTCCGTATCACTGTCGACAAAGTCAAGAATTGCTTGGACAGATTCAACATCGTGTGATTCTTATGATTTTATATCTCCTACTGAATATAATTCAGATTCGGATGATATACAGTTATCAATAAGTAGTGAAGAGCAATATAAACAAAATGAAGATAATAGGTTTAAGCCACCAAGGCGCAAACCATATTCTATGAAAGACTGTGCTATCAGAAACAGAGCTCTCTATGAACGCCGTCGGAAGAATGAGGAAATAGAAGAAAAACGTACGACAGAAATTATAGAATTAAGGAAGACATTTGAAAAAAATAATGAAATTCAAGAAAATAGAAACAAACTTTTACAAGATTTACTGGAGGAATTAAAAACATCTAAAAAATAAAAATCTTAACATCATCTAAAAAAATTCATCTAAAAAACATTTAAAAAATGATTTACAGAGAAAAGCAAAAAAACATAAAGATATAAAGTTAAAAACGATGTAAGACTGTAGTCTAAAAGTTAAAAGTTTATAATATGGAGATAGCTTCTAATATGGAGAGATAATTTTTCTAGTCCATATATCTATATAGTTACTTAATTTGTAAAAACCTTTGGATAATGTGTTTCTGTTATTTTATTGAACGAGTTTTTAATTTTTTATTTCTTTTTCTCAAAAATATATCTCCCGACATTGGACACTTTTCCTCTATATATAAAAAAAAGAAAAGTAAAATATGAAGTTAAAAAAGAGAAAAAATATAGATTCGGAAAATTAAATAGGAAAATGTTCCTAATATGTATGTGATTCTTAATATGAAAAGAATTTCTTCTTTTTTTACTTATACATATTTATTGAGATCGTAAAGACTAAATTTTAAAGATTCTTGTATAATATTTTTTTTATTTAACGAGCTTTTTAATGTCTTGTCTTTTTTCTTTAAAGTATTATATCTCTTAATATAACGTTTTTCTCTGTATAAAGAAAGCCAAACAATAAAATATAAAGATATAGAATAAAAAAGAATATAACAATGTAGAGTATGGAAATAAAATAAAGGAGAAGTTTCTAATATGGGAGGGGTTTGTAATATGGAGAGATAAAATTTCTTTTATACGTATTAGTTATTTAGTTTGTAAAAACCTCTGGATATATATTATTTTTATTGTTTTATTTCAAGAGTTATTGAATTTTTTTTCTTTATTTCCTTAAAAAGAATTATATCTTTCCATCTTGGATAATTCTTTCTATATAGAGAAAACCAAAGTACAACAAATAAAGTTATGTATTATTAAAAATAAAATTATATATTATATTTATCTTATGTTTATTTTATAATATTTGTTTTATATATTTGTATCAATAAATGTTTCTTTTCATTTTTACTTATTTGTATTTTGATTTGTGTATATATCTATGCATTATGTGATAATATACGCATAATCTGTTCACGCTTTTGTATGACCATCATCTGTGGGCGCTCTTCATTTTCTATATTTATATTTAAAATTTCCTCATTTGGCATTTCTTCAATCTCGTCATTAATATCGTATTCATCTATATTGTCTAATATCAAATTGTGCAATACACAGGCAGCTGCAATAATTTTTTTTCCAAGATCAATATCATTGATATCTAAATATTTTAAACGTCGGAATTTTCCTTTCAAAAGCCCAAATGCTCGCTCAATGACAGATCTAATTGAACTGAGCTTAATATTGTAACGGGTTTGAGCAACTGTTAAACGTCCTGTGTCTCTAAATGGTGTCATTACATTCATCATTAATGGGTAGGCAGAATCCCCAATTATGTGTTCTTCGGCCAGCAATAATGGATTTCTTGCATTTATAATGCGTTGATAAACTGGAGAATTTCTAAACACGCGAGCATCGTGCATTCTTCCAGGTAAGCCAATGAAGCAATCAATAAACTTTCTACGATGATCACAAATTCCTGTGATGAAAAATAGTAAATTCAACACAAACTGGTTCACTAAATAAATGTGCTAGTACATTTTATATATTAAAAAAAATAATACCTTGTAATATAATGGAATGGAAACCCTTCCTGTTGTAGTAGTCATGCGCATTATCTTTTGGTTGTTTACAAGGAATATGACATCCGTCAATTGCTCCGATGACTCCTGGAAATCCATATGATCTCTCCTCGAATACCTAAAAGGTACAACGCATTGTATTAATATAAATCAAAGCACATTAAGTTCCAAAATTTATTAAGATTAGATTAAATTTTTTCCTTCCTTTAAGGTACTTTATCCCTTTTTCCAATTTGTTGTAAATACTTTTTAATATTAATAATGTTATACTTACATCTATACATGTGGTTTTGTAAACATGATTTGGCCATTGTATATACTCTGGCATCAAGTCGACAAGTACATCAACAATTTCTTTAAAAATATGATGTGCTGAACTTGTTGGTATATTAAATCTATCTCCTGCTGCTAGAAAACTTACTGGTCTGCTCAATAACCATATTGTGAGTAATACTTTTTTTCGAAGTGGTGCGTACTCATTTGCATGTCTTGCAAGATGTTGTGCAATGACATTTGATAAATTCTATTGTTAAATAAACATAAAAGTATATAATTGATTAATTATTCATTTGAAGTATACAATTACCATACAGAACAGAAGGTTTAAGAAAGTTGAAATGTTTTAGAAACCTTTCTCAAAACTTCTAAAAGCTTTCTCAAACCTTCTACGCTGTATGAGTTATGCTCTATGAAATTAAGCATATATGTAAACTCATATATGATATTAAATTATTCAAACTTCGCCAACTCATTAATTATTTCATGTACATTGTTACTTACTTCACAAGTTATTCTATCCATTCTGAACATTTCCTTAAACTGATCGTGCGTAAACCTAGGAATTATTTTCTCATAATTTTTATTACATTTTATTCGGGCACGATGTCTATTAAAATTAAAATTATTATTAGGTTTTATTAAAGATAATATAATATTTTCAAAATTATGCATGGTTATTCCGTCATCCACCGCAAGTAATAATAATGCCAATGATTCCATTTTATTCGTAGGTATTTCAAATTTAATTTTACTGTCAAACTACTCTGTCAAACTTAACCTTATCCGCTTTTATTTTAAAGTAAAACATTAGAAGTAGCCATCTTTACTAGTAGCGATATCACAAACGA